CCGCGGCGGTGGCTGCGGGGCCGCCAGATCGGGGCTGCCGCCGGCGGTGCAGGGCGCGGGGCTGGGCGGGCTGCAGGCAGGTAAGTGCCGGGGGGGCTCAGCCCCCAGCTCAGCAGCCTCCTGGCACTGGGGCTGCTGAGAAATAGGGGGCCGCACGCGCGGGTGGCAGGCTCGGTTCATCCGACCCCTGCAGCACCCTGAAAAGGGCCGCGCGGCACCCCGGGGGGCGGCACCCCGGCGGAGCGTCGCCGGCTCAGCCTTGGCCCGGCGCAGTGGGTGCAGGAACTTCTCCTCCGGCTGCACGCGGCCCCGGAGAGATGGCTGATGCCAGTCTGCGCGCAAGCACCCGCCGGCCTTCGCAGCTCTCCGCCGGGGGGCTTGCAGCTGCGCGCCCCTTGCCCCGTCCCAGACCCCAAACGCCGTCTCCGGGGAGAAGCAGCAGGCAGAAGTGCCACTGTCGGGGGAAGGTCGCTGCCACCTTTTCCCCAGGCGGTGCCTGTGTGGGTGCATGGGTGCATGCCGAATAGGAGGGAGTCACCCCTGCGCAGAAGGCCGTGGCGATGCGACTCGGAGCACTTTGGCTCCTCTGGGAAGGTCAGGGCTGCCAGCCCCTGAGAGGGGGAGTCTGCTCAAGGTGGATCCCAGGACGGGACTAAGGTGCGACTCGGGCAGTCGCCCGCTGCTTAGAGGCACGTGGGTCCTGGAGAGCTCTCTCGGGTCGTCCCCAAGGGGCTCGCCGGTTGAAATGAGTGCTCAGAGCGCTGTGCTCTCCTCAGAGCTGACATGAAGTCCAGGAAACAAGGTCCAAGAGAGACCGTTGTACCTAACTTCAGGGTCTTGCGTCCTGCGGGATGAAATACCCTGGGAATCGCTGAAATAACATCTTGCTTCCTTTGCAGCCTGGATCCTTGCGGTGTCAGTCCTGACCGTCACGACTGAAACACGTCCCTTTCTGTCTCTGACTGACCGTGGCAGGGGACTGTTCGGCAGTGCGGGGCAGTGAGAAATGCTCGCAGAGCCTGTGCAAAGAAGAAATCTTACCAGCGTTGCTGAAATTATCCCAGGAAGACACTTTGCAGGTTGATTCGGCGTCACAAGGTAATAACAAGTTTGCAGACTAGAAACCAAAAAAAAAAAAAAAAATCACTTTGGCTTTGAGGAATTGAAATGGCAAATCTCTGTTTGATCTCCTTTGGATGATCAGTGCAACGGGCTGTTTTCTGAAAGTGCGGTGGCTTAGTAATAGTATTCTCTGAAGGGGACGGAGCAGGAAAGATGATTTGCTTCTATTTGTTGTGTACTAGCTGAACCCCGCTCCCCGGGCTAATGCAATGCAAACAGTCAGAAGGAAGGCAGTGGGACGATGGGGACAAGGGAGGTGATGATCGCTTTGTAATCAAGTGTAACATCTTCACGAGCTCAGGGGAGGCTATTAATATCCTTGTGTCAATGAAGCAATATTGCACACATGTGCATAGAACGGATTAGCGGGAATCCTCCAAAGCGATTAGCAAACAGTCAGAAACGCAGTTTCAAAGTACAGAGCCAGCAGGTTAGCAAACACGCGGCTCCCGGGGTACAGCAAAGCTCTGTGCCCGTTGGAGGGAGCTCTCCCTGGGCCTGGGCTGAACAAGGACAGAAGATGGGTCCTCGTGGGTTTAAGAGACAGCAGTCGGGTTGGGATTTGTTTGGCTTTTTTTCTCCGTCTGTGTGATGTGCGAGGACCGGCCGTGTTTCCGTCGCGCACGTTCATCTGCGCACGGTGCAGCAGAGTCGCACAATCAAATAGGAGTCCTGCCACGGAGCAGCTACTCCGGCTGCCTGTGAATGAAGGGATCTTGGCAATGGCATGTGTTTAAATCAGAGCAAGATTTTAAGGATGCTCTGCTTAGCTAAGAAAGAAAAGAATTTATTACCGCATTTTTACAGCCGTGGCAAGGATGCCGCAATATTTCCTGGGATGTCGCCCGCTGAAAATAAATGTCAATTCCTATTTATTTAAAAGCTTAAAGCTCTCTAGTTGAGTATGCAAGACAGGGATGACTGAGACATACGCTATCCCCGCGCCTGGCTGACTTGCATATTGATCACTTCTCCATGTACGGCTGTAGGAATCTCAGCAGGACACGGGCACATTTTACTAACAGCCCATCTTGAAACCTGTTCCCTCTGGTCAGCGGATCTCGGGTCGTCAGCCACATCCCCAGGCCACTAGCAAGGTGCAGCCGCCCCCCACCCCATTGCCTGAGAACCTCACAAACATGAGTGAACTTAATCATGTGGAAATGCAAAATGCTTTGCTGAGGGGAAACTGAGGCACGGAAAAGGTCAAGTTGGGTGGGGAGGGGGAGGCTGCAACCTGTAGCCTGCCTGCCACAAGTGACGTGGGCATCCTCTGTGCATGGCACATGGGAGGGCATAGAGGGGATGGGCACTGCAGCAGTAGGTAGGGCAGGGAGCAGAAAACAGGGCAGAGACCGGGCAGAAGCAAAAAGCAGGTCAGGTAGGAAGCACAGGGAAGGGTGCAGAAAGCAGAGCAGCAGATCGGGCAGAGGAAGAGGATTGGAGGAGCACTCAGGGCGATGCAGGGCTAGTTTGTGGCACACCTGCCAAAAAGGTCGGTCCCCACGGGGTTGAGTTTCTCACCCGTCGTCACATGCAAAGCGTGTTTAGCACAGAGCAAACTTGCTTCACTAAGCAGCAGAAGTGGAGTGGACACATGGTGCGCAGACCTACCCCCTGTGCAGGATACAGTAACCCCAGGGAAAACCGTGCAGGAACTTTTCCACCTAGGTCAGTGCCTACCTAGAGCCTGGCGTGTGCCCCCCTCCCCACCCGGCTCCACCCCACCGGCCCCTTCCAGACCGGCTCCCCCACCGCCTCGGGGGCAGCCCTGTAAGAGCACCTGCTGCCTTCAGTCAGCCTGGGAGCGTTGGTTGGTTGTCCCTGCCTCCCCACAGAGCAAATCTGCTCCCAGTGAAAATCCGGAGTCTCAACCGTGATCAGGCTGGGAAACCAACCCAGGCCAGGTCTCCTGCGTCTGTAATCACAAGACAGTCTGCCGTCTGCTCCTCGTGGCTGAGCCATTAACAAACCCCAGCCTTGCTCCTTGTCTCTCAGCTCACTTATCTCGGTGTTGAAAACACGGCACCTAATTCCTGCAAAAGAGTTGGCCCTGACACTGAGAGGTCACCTGAAAGCGTCTCTAGCTGTTTGCATTTCCAGGAAGCAGCTACTACTGCAGGAGTGTTTCCAGTTTCATTCAAGAACGAGGTCCCTGCATTCCCAGCCTGCTCAATAAATCCCTGAGTTCAGGCCATTTAGCGCTAAATGCTAAAATGACTAGGAAGGGGCACCTTTGACTCTCCTAACTCATGAGACATGGTGGAGCCGCATCTGTCGACTCAAGGTTAGAGCTAGGCGCCTCATCTCTCGCTGACATGTGCAGCAATTAGAGGGGTGATGCTTGTTAACATTAATGGGAAAGAGACACAGCTCCTCAGTGTGCGCTGGGAGCAGGTACCCAGAGAGCAGTTGCTGTGAATGGCACGCTGATTTGAGGACCGGGAGGGAGCCCATGTTGATTCACCGGTGAGATGTCAGCTTTGCTCCCTCCGAATACAAAGTGATTTAAAGTCCAGCCTCCATCTACACGCAAAGTGCTCACCGGTCAGGATGAACGGGACCAGCCTCACTGGTGAGGTTTGGAGAATGGGCCAAAACCAGTGCTAGCAGGTGAGGCACTGGACGCTAGCGGCATTGCACTTGTCCTGAAATCTGGCCCCGTGCCTTGCCTTGTGGTGTAGCACCAAAGAAATGCAGCGTGTCAATGATGTAGTTGCCTCCCAGGTGGAGAACCAGAGGCTGTGACTCATGCCACCTTGATGGAGCTGTCACAACGCTCGGCTCGCAAGGAGAGCCGTGTACACAAGAAGCACTGACTCAAGGTGTTTATGTTTAAACAAAGCACCGAGAGGCTGAATCACTGCTGCAGTGCTGCAGCTCGGGGTGGCCACAACCTCGTCAAAGCCTGCCCGAAGCAGGCACAAAACCAGGCGTGTCCAAAAACACCAGCGCAGCTCCCCCCTGCACCTGAAATAGGGCCAGGCTGGTTCCTTTCTTGGGGTTAGCTACACGCAGGTGGGCTGAGGGCTGGTGCTGGTGCAACGGGGTCTGGACGTGCATTTTGTCCACATTGATTATTGACCTTGAACATCACCAAGGGTCTGAGGCCTGGGCTCAAACCCCTCTGCATAAACCTCTCTGCATCTCCCTCCTACTTGGCTGGGAGTGAAGGCTCATTCTTAATGTCTATTCAATTCTTGGCCCTTCCCATAAGATTAACGCCTGGAGGTAACAATAATTACTGATGTAGGCAAGAGAAACGTTTGTGCCTTTTAGGGACCAGCAGAGAGCACCGGCCATGTCAAACAGGCGACCGAGACCCCGTAACCTTCAGGCAGTACAAGTTAGAAACTTTGAAGTACCTCCTGGCCGCTGTGAATGTCAGCTGGGGAAATGACACCAGGAGCTGCTGTTCTCTGGTGTCCTAACACGGGGCCCCGGGTTTGGTCACGAACACTTTCCGCATCTTGACACTCAGTCCTACTGAGCCTGTCAACTTCTTAACAGCATCACTGCCTGTTTGTACGGCCCAGCTGTATGACCGGTTACCAGTCCACCCTACTGCTCAGCTTGGGGTTATTTCCCTGATACTGAGCCCTGACTCCTAACCCTGGAGTAATCAGTGGCTGCGTCCACACAAGACGCTGACTGCACAGTTGTTACTGCGCAGTCATTTAGCATTTGCATACCCAAGGACTAAACGACTGTGCAGGAACCGGCGTTACAGGGCAGTAGCGTCCCTGCACGGCTTCCTTGCGGTTGCTGACTGTGCAGTAGCTGTGCAGTCACCGTTTGTGCCACACAACGCTACTGCGCAATAGTAATGAGCTACCGGACAGCCGGCATCTCGTGTACATGCGACCAGTGCTAACTGAATTGCTCCCAGCACCTACTGCTCTAAGTAAACCGGGGCAAACATGCTCAGGTTCAAAAAGAAACCACTGCAATAGTTTGCCCGTGACGGCTAACACATGCGCCGCATGTTGCATAATGACGGGAAAGACAGACCCGACTCCTGCAGTCAGACATATCATATTGATAGTGTTTTCAGCACAGAGTCGCTGTTGATAAGTTGAAGAGCCACTTGAAGCGTGGGAGCCACGGGCTGAGTACCCCTGGGTTAGGCTAACAAGCGTAGCCTCTCGCATTTGTGTAGTAGAAGTGGGATGTGATGAGCTCCCGATGCCAGGTTGCTCTTTGTTACCGGCAGGCTTTGGGCAGGGTGCATACACATCTACATCCACATGAGTGTTTTCCAGTGCTTCATGTATCGGCTGGGGCACCTCTCTGCGGATGACTTCCTGGATGCCATCTGCTCATGAGATGCATGTGCCAGTGGGACTGTCTCAAGGCTGGGCACGATCATTAAGTACACGAGGAAGCATCAAACTCCAAAACCCTGCTCTTCAAGCCCTTGTCTAGCTTTAGGTTTGCTATCTGGCCTGAACCTGACTTAAATGCAGCAGCTCTGGCCTCTCAACCAAAGAAGCCCGGTGTGGTCTGCAAGCTTCACAGTGGCTCCAACAGCCCATTGACTCAGGGCACCTGATCTGGGAGAAAGGGGGCGGCCAAGGCATCCTGATGTCCTCCTAGTGGTCTGGGTCATACAGTCCCATACTCAATTTAGAGCAGCTTTCAGGCTGCTCCTCAGTTGTGCTTGGGAAGCAGATTGCACTCACAGGTCCCAGGGTCATGGTAGCATCTT